GTTATGATTTTCCGTTCCTCTTGATAAATTTCATAAGTGATTTTTTCTTGATCTAGATATTCCTGGAGAGTTTGGGTGTTATTGATTTTGAAAACATATGGAGTAATTTTTTCTCCTTGTTTTTTTTTTAAATACTTCTAATGGTGCTGTAATTCTTGGGTTCCATGGTCGATTTGATGTAAATTAGTTTCATATACTTTATTATTTTATATAGAGGTAGTCCTATATTACTCCTGTTATGGTTTATATTCCTCACATTCTGGTATGATAAAGTGAGCATTAAAATTAACAGTCCATAAACACCATTACTTTTCAAAATGTCATCAGTCATACTGGTCAGTTTTACAGCCACATCATAATCAACTACAACCTCTTATTTATGTCACATAACAGAATGTTCACTTTGTCTGGTTTTGTTGCAGCATGCCCCATATTAAAAATGTCTTGAATACTAGGATCAACATAACTTTCTTTATTTTATAAGTATTTCCTGTAAACAATCCGTATTTGATAAAGGAATGAAAGTTGGAGAATAATTCAAGTAATAAATATCTTACTAATCCTTAAATAACTCCATTTCAGCAATCAGTATGCACACTTCATAGATATCATTTTATCACAAATCCATGAGGCAAGTCATCAACAGCATTTGAAACCTTCTCATATTAATATTTGTCATTCACCATTTTCATATTGAATGAAAATGCATTTCAGGCACTATTCATATTCACCCGTTAAAATGCAATGCTCATTGTTCTGAACTGTTATGTGATCAGGGTACCTATTTTGATAGACGCTTATCTTGTTGTGATTAAGGATTATGATTCGTTTATTTCTCCGTGTATTCACGTGTCTTACATCCTGTTATTGGATGTGAAAAATGATCACTGTTATTATATCTACAAATAAAGTAATTATGCAAACGAAGTGTTTGAGTCGATTCTATTTATCTTATTTTATAGTAGTTTTGAAATTAGCGGGGTTATTATTGTTAACAATCCAGCTGTTGAATTCTTCGTGAAGAATTGCTTTCCCTCCCGTCTCTAAGTTTGTCTCATGTACAGATGCAGTCAGCAACGATCATTCGCTTAATTTCTTCCCAACGCCCAACAATAGTCAGTTCATCAACTTTATTGAGCTACAAATAATTCTTAGTCAACAATCAAGGCCATTGATTAGCTGAAAGTATATAATAAAGTGTCTTTTTTTAGTAGTTGCCTTGATACGATACTAATACTAATACATAGATGTAAAATTGTTAAGGAAAATGCAACGTAACACACATGAGATGATTGATAATCTGGATTTTTTTCGAATGGCACAGTCAACCATATGAAATGCAGACAAGAGAAATTCCTATGCTTTATGCCAATGGAGCGTGCACGTTTAACGTGTAGAGAACGTGAATCCATCAAGAACCTTACACAATAGATGATATGCGTGAGAACGAAGCACAGAAAAAGAAACGGGTTTGTCGGGTAGCCGTAAAAAAAGCAATACTCATGATGGCGCCTTGCCTGGCGGTTTGTGCTTCAATACAAAATACGGCGAGGCTAAGTTCCCATCATCTGCCAGGCTTCATTTTGATTTCTGTTTTCGCACATTTATCGTCAGTGTTGGACACAAACAAAAGGTTCTCTCTGAACGTTCCAGACTGATGATGCCAAGAGCTGTATTTGCCCGGGTAACTTCCCGATTAACAAAACTGCAATTACTCAAGATAATACAACAGTTTTCAATACAATCAACAAGGGTTAGTAACCAGATTCGCAGTAACTAATTAGGATATATTACTACTGGTGGCTTGGTTTGTTTGTAGCTTCAATGGAAGTTAGTATTGTACAGCATTCTGTGCCGCCCGAGCAAATGTCGATCCATTTCAACCACTGTGTCGATCCATTTCAGCGGTTAAAAAATGATGCTGATTCAAGTTATTGAACAATTGGATGCATAAGCTTGCATATCGAATATGCATATATTCATCTCCTTGAAGACTTTGTTATTGTGTGTGCAGTAGCCATTGTGTTTTGATGCTGCGTATTTTAACCTGTTTATATTTGGGTTACCTCAATTACAATTAAATTATGAAGTGACTTCCAAAAGGAACTGGTGACATTCACTGTTTGGGCTCAACCACTTTATCGAATAGGCAGATGCAAAGAATATCCTTGTTTCCCTAAACCATTCTGTTTGCATTGGCCACACCAAACGCAGAAAGAGGTATGCGACTGTTATAAAAGAGACGTTTTTACTCCAAGATCAAGCACAAGCTTTTTTCATCAAGCTTTCATAGTCTATTAAACAAACAAGTATCTATCAAAAATGACCTCACCATACGACGTTCTCAAGACTAAATGGAAACAACGACAAGACACAGATACCACTGTTTTCGGAGCCACGCGTGACGAAGCTGTTACGAAAATTAAACAATTGGCTGAAACCGTACGTTTTCCCTTTTGCTCTCATTTCTATTAACCTGCCGACCCAAAATAATTTTAAGCGTCGCGGAATTTTATTAGAAAGCTGCTGGGCTAGGAGGAAACCCGTTTACGGACGAGGAATGGAACATTTCAAAATATCCCATGGTTGCGCTTTACCAAAACAACGCAAATCCCTCGCTTGATCCATCTCATCCCTATAGTTTCACTTCAGTCCAACGTCTTAGCGTCGTGACTCCGCAATCGAGTTTCTATGTCGATGGAACTGCGCCGGGTGATGTTCAGCAAGGTCTGTTGCGTACACGTGTTTACACCATTTTTGCAGAAATTAGTCTCACGTGACATTATTAATATCATCAAAAAAAAAAAAAAGGTTTAGTTGGCGATTGCTGGTTTCTCGCTGTTCTTGCTGGAGCCGCTGATGTTCCCGGTCTCGTTCAATCCATAGCTGTCTCTGTTGATGAGCAAGCCAAGGTATATACGATTGGAAATTTTTCATCTCAATTCATAATTAGAGATTAATTCTTATTGACTAAATTTTCACATAGATCTATGGATTTGTATTCTACAACGAAGGATGGGTTGGTACCGTAGTCGATGATTACTTGTTTTACAACAACTCACAATTGAGCTTCAGGTATTTCGAATTAAAAAATTGTGTGATTCACAAACATGTGTATTGGGTCACACATTTAATCAACGATTGATTTACGTTTGCAGCGCGTCCAGGCAGAATGAAGCTTGGGTTCCGCTTCTGGAAAGTGAGTTTGCATTTCTCCTTTTTTTCCCATCCATGTTTTAGTCATGCCAATTTGAAGTGGCTCTAATTCAATGTATTTTTCGCAGAGGCGTTTGCCAAGGTCAATGGTGACTACGAAAGTATCGATGGTTCAATCGGACAAAGAGGTATTTATAACATTGCCTTCTTTGTTATGCAAATTAAACGTAAAACTAATAATTTCCCATAACTTGCCCTTCCACTCCCCCTCAGCACTTGTTGCCATTGGAGGCGTAAACTATGTGAATTATGATCTCTCCCAAGTGAAGCAAGATTCCACGTTGAAAGACCAACTTTGGAATGCATTTCTCGCCGCCAAGAATGCCAGCAAGAATCTTGATACCATATTTGCTTGCAGTCGCCAACATCATCATGATCCCAATCCAAACGGTTATGGTGAAGATATAATGGGTTTGGTCCCTTCACATATGTATACTTTCCGTCGCGCTGTTAATTTCCATGGTACCAACTTGATCGAGGTCCGTAATCCCTGGGCAATGACTGAATGGAAGGGTAAGCATTACGATAACTGCTCTCTACACTACACTACATTACAACTACATACAGAACTTTCTGTGAACTAATTATACTGACTTGTATAACGATTATTTTACTTTTTAGGCGCTTGGTCAGATAGTAGCGATGACTGGGCACCTTACAGACAAGGTGATACGATACCAGAGTTGGATTACTCTCTCTCTGATGACGGTTCCTTCTTTATGGCATACGACGACTTTTTGAACGAATACGATGGAGTAGAAAGTTGTGAATACCCGGTAGCAGTCGGTAAGTGTCATGTCAATACGAAACTTGATTCGTTTACTTTACAAGAAATATGAAACTGATCAATTGGTATGATTCCCCCTCCATCAATAGCCACAAACCTCAACCGGCCTGCCAGCATTTCAACACAGAGTCTTTTACAAGCTTGGTGGTATGGCCTCTACAATATTTATTACACCGATAGAGCAAACCAATCAGACTTGTCGAGTATACAATTGACCTTTGCGAGTGGGAGCCCTGACGGGAACATCGTTTCGGTCGGTGGCAATGGAACGGATGGTATAGGGACTTATTCCATTAATAACGGCACATATAATAAGTCAACAAAAGCTATTTCCTTTACCAAGCAGTACAACAATGTCAATAACAATGTGGCCTGGCTCTACCAAGGCATATATAATAACGACCTGTTTTATGGATCATGGGGCACTCCTGCCAATGCAAATCAGGGTAACTTCTTGATTAGACGGACGGAACTTCTCGAAAAACAATCGGATGAGGGGAGCTGGCGAGGATATTACTTCGATGCACAAAACAATAGTAGTCTGATGCTGATTCACTTGAATGTATGGAAAGAGCCTAACGGCGACGAAACTATCACTGGCTCCGGTAATGATGTAGTTGGTGCGTTTACCATTGATGGACGCATCTCAACTAACAATTCGGTCAGCTTCAGCAAGAGATATTCTACTCATGCGTGGAATTATAATGGACAGAAGAGCGGAAACGCGATATTTGGAACTTGGGGCGCTGGAATACCCAGTGGTGGTGATTTCGTAATTTGGAAATATTAGTCTGCCCATTCCCTATCTCTATGTATATGTATATGTATTAGTGTGATTATTTATTATAAATAAAGCCGTCTTTAAGTGACTACTGATACGTGACATCTTGGTTGCAAATGTTAATGGCTCTACGTTGCTAGCGTGCAATCCGCCTCAATATGACGCTTTTTCTGGTGATGGAAATTCCCACTAGAATTTGACATACTCCGATCCACAGACACATCATTGTTAACGTTAATTGTGTCGATAAGGTATTTGCAGCAGACGTCGCCAATGATGAATAGATCAGATCATAGCGTACATATTGACCAAAGCACAAAATGTGCGAATCACGCGAAAGCCATCTGCGTAGTGATTATGTAATCTCTCTAAGGCAATTATAGCTAGACGGGTAAACGTGAATTAGTAGCAGAAACATAATCCTGAAGAGGATTACTAATTTGTCCGTTTAATAATTCGTATACAAATGAAACGTTATTAGAGTATCGACAATAGAAATATATAATGAGAAGCTTGGTAATTATTAAGGCGTATAACAAAAATGATGCACGTGATAAAAGAGAGTTTGCTTCTACAAATTGACCTGAACGGCAAGTAACAATGGTAACCAGAGTACATAGCATATCATACAGTTACGCAAATATTGTCAAGCAAGAATATTTCGAACCTTTGGTGCTTATTAATGCAAGTAAAGGGAGTGACAAGAACCTTGCTAATATAGCGATCTACATATATTATATTTTACTTAGCGTTAGATTAAATATAACCAGATAGTGATCAAACGATCACTAACTCTAAAACTGGAATTACAAATTGATTGGATTCTCGAAGGGAAAGTGTATTGCAGCAATAAAGCTGCTAACAATGATCACCTTTTTCTTCAATAGCATAAATACTAATTATCTAAAGACAAATATTCTACAAATTACTAATATTCGTTGATGCAAAGCTGTTCGATCTTGGACGACCCAAACAGTTGTCACAAACACGATGGTATTGCGATGATCTTGTAATACTTTCGGATCCACTTGGATCACGTAGAACCTGGTGAAGAGGTAGTTTAATTTTTGACGCCGAGCATTGGTCGCATACAACTTGACCACATCGTCTAAGAATTTTCACGTCAAAGTTAGTAATCGCGGATCAGTGTAGAAAGTACACGAGTTGTTGTACTGTTAAATATTAACTATATGCATACCTGCAATGATGCCTTCGAATCAAAAAACTAAACTTTCTTGAACATTGTCTACACGCTGGTACGTCTTTATCATTCTCCCACATGGGTGCAGTTGAAGGCCTTACAGACAGAATAGACACAGAATCATCATACACGGACGAGTTATCCATATCCTCGTGAATATTCTGAGCATTCGTTGACCATGGACCATCAATAGTTTGAAAACTACTGAGACTTGTAGTTGACGGAGCTTTAAATTTTGTGAAACTTGTAATGGTACCGCTCGTCGATCTGTTCATTCCTGGCCGGCCAAAAAGACTCGCGTTAGACTCACCCCCGGATTGCTGCTCCATCGCATTTAGGAACTCGACGCGAGATAAGTAGTCAGTAATTAATGAATTGGCCTCAATTTTACGTTGCATATTGTCATCGGCTTTTGAAGGAAAAGTTCGTGTGAGTTCAATAAATAATTAAATGTTAGCAAAACGCGTAGACTCAATAGATAACTATACAAACTTTTAATTCCTTCTTTTAAGATTTCAATTGCATCCTTATGTCGGGCTATTTGATCCGATAAAGAAATATTTCTATGCTTGTTCAAGAGAGCTTCAGCACGCTCAACGTAATTATCCCCTTCAAGCGTAAGCGACTGACTTTTGCGCATGAGCTCGCTCGCCGCGGTTCCGTCGACTTTAAATTGTCGCTTTGTAATGCGAACCCATCTGCGACGGCGGACCCAATTATTCGCCCCGGCCGGCGGAGCAGGTAACCATAGAGAATCAGAATCATCAAAACTTCGTGCGTATTGCCATCCGTCTGCATCTACGCGTGGATATGACATATCAATCTGCCAATCAGTCAACCAGAACCATTCATTAAGAGTTTTAGATAAACTTGAACTCGAAATGACAGATGCAGACGAAGAACGGGAATCTGACGGAAGACCAATCGCAGACTTTGTAGTTGGTTTTCCATTAGGAAGTGACCATGGTCCGCGTACATCGCTTTTTAACAGATAACTAGCAGAATATTTGGCAGCCCCACTGCGAAGCATTGGAAAGGACGAAGATGCGCGTTCATTTTCGTGAATCACAATGGGTACGTTGCTATGAAATGCGTAGACATCGTATGGCTGATCTGTCGACGGCGATGATGTAAAATCACTAAAAGAATATTCTAGAAAAGCACCGGAATATAAATAATGCTAAATAACAAAAAAATTGAGGCACTGAAAAGCTTTTGTTACTGATCGTTTAGAATACGTACGTCCAGATAAAGCCTTCTTTGCTTTCCAACAATCACGTTCAGCCTTCTCAAGTAATTCACATATGTAAATTTCTTGGCTTACTGCAGCAACGTCGTATGCGGCTTCACCGATTGAATTCTTTAATAGCGGGTCTGCTCCGCGTCCTAATAGATACTCGACAACTTCTATATGTCCTTTAGATGACGCGTTCACTGTAAAAATTACGGCATGTTTCATGATCAGTCTAATTGTGTTGGTTATGGTATCAACGCCATTATTAAAAAATGTTCGAAAGTTTAAATACAGCTTTGACACGACTTACTCAAGGGCGTATGTCCTTTGTGGCTTTGAACATTAACGTCCGCATCAGTATGCTCCAAAAGATACTGAACTATTGTAATGTATCCTTGTGCGCAGGCGTTGTGGAGGGCAGTCCACCCATCACTGTCTTGCCGTTCAACATGAGCGTTTCGTCGCAAAAGAAACGCCACCACGGCAGGAAATCCCGCCAATGACGCTTTATGGAGAGCAGTCTACGATAATCAAATAAATATAAGAATATTTAAAATTAGACACAAAAGCCTGATATGAAAAAATCCGCATTCTCATCAGATCGTATGATTAATACCTCTCCGGTTTGATCTTCTAAATCAACAATAGCGCCTGCATTGTCCACTAACAATTTGACTACCGGCAGGTGCCCTCGCGAGGCAGCGTAGTGTAGTGGTGTCAGACCAGAGGACGGAGTGGCTTCGTTTGCAAGCATGAAAGGAGATAAATTTGCCCCAGCGTCTTGTCGTTGGAGCAACTGACGTACTCTATGCAAATTACCAGCGGCGGCAGCTTCATGTATGCTTGATTCTGACTCGTCAGCTACAAACTCGTTTGAAGCTCGCCTGTAACTAGAACTGGACGCTTGCTGATTGAAGGTACCCGGCGGGAGTTTTACTTGTTTGTTATGGATATTTCCATAATAAGGATGATTTTCTCCTGGAACTGGTGGATGAACTGAAACGGGAACAGTCGGCACTGGCAATGTGTTTTGCGTGATGGTGGGCGAACGCAACATTTTCTCGTGAGAACCGAGTGGGGGAGATAGGTTTTGCAAGTTGGTTTATATAATATAGTCACGCTTGGTTTCGTGTAACTGTCTCGCAGATCGAACTTTGATCCAACCCTTTACTGGTCACGCGACTCCCGCTTTTTCGGGGAAAATATAGAGTCGATTCATTGACTTTTGCGGCAAAGACCATTTTGCCATTTTTGCAAAAGGTTTGCATTAAGGAGACCCCAGTACTAGATAGAGATACCCCTGCATACGTAAGCATTTTACATATAAATTCCGTGAAATTCTTCCGAAAGTTTCCCTTAAAGATCCGTCCGATGAATCACAAAATTTTTTCGTGTCATGATCATCTATAATTGAAATTTTGCTAATTACTGTATTCGAATTCAAATTTTTCGATTAGTCTTTATTGCCTTTAAGATGATACCAACACAAAACGCTCTTCGACTCGGACTATGTTGCGTAGCCTCGATATGTCATACGACGATCCACACGGGCTTCCAGCGCTCGATTACAACACAACACTTGTTCCAAAGAGCCACTGCTCGACATTTTTTTCATTCAACTTGCACTTTGATCAACCAACAGGCCCGTCACGGAACCTTACGACAATTGAACTTTGCACGTAGGATTTATGGGGATTATGATCCAGTAAATACGGACGCTCCTTGTTTTACTAGACTAACATATAATATGACATTTTCCTGTCAAATATTCAGAATGCTCTCACGTATTAAGGATATCATCCGCTTATGCTCAGACTGTAAGTGTAAATTTTAATGTTGGTTATTAGATTGTCTCAAGTCTTTATTGTTGATGATGATCCTGATTTACGACACCAAGGTTAAACCGAATTTGCTTCTCGCGTGCAGCGATCCTTTCATGGATCAGGTATCTTTCCGATGTTTATGCGCCTTCGTTATATATATGCATTTCGGGTCTGATCTATAGAACGCTTCTATGATCAGCAAATGCTGCGGCCAAAAACGATTTCTACGAAATCTTAGGAGTACCAAGAAACGCGTCTCAATCGGACATCAAGAAAGCTTATTATTCCGCATGTATTCAAAATTATCGGCTTGATTTGTTTTCTCGTTTAGTAGAATCTAACGATGTGGATACGTTTTGTAGCTTGCCAAGAAATATCATCCAGACACGAACAAAAGCCCTGATGCAAAAGAAAAGTTTGTACAGATTCAAGAAGCTTATGGTGTATGTGTTTGTGATACTGTTCGTTCCCAAGCTGAGTATTCCGTTTGACGTGCATTGGGTACTAATAACGAGTTTTGATCCAGGTACTCTCGGATGAAGAAAAGCGAGCGCAATATGATCAATTTGGATCTTCGTTTACTGGTGTGTCACGCCATTAGAGTAATGATGCTAGATTTTATGTAATGGTTATGGTATAAACTATTAATCAATATTCGGGTTATAAAACAGGCGATGGGCCAACAGGAGCAGGGGGTTTCCCGGGTGCTAATTTTGGAAACTTTGCAGGATTTGGACCGGAAGACTTTATGAACCAATTCTTTGGTGCTACTGGTAATACATTCAACAGAGGTGCATTTGCGAGAGGAGATGATATTGAGGTGATGCTTGCATATTTTTTTCTCCTAAAGTTCTTCTCAACATTGTTTGCTTGACTCTAACAATTTTTGTGACTATGGTTTCGGGCCACTCTTTTAGACAGTCATAACGGTTCCATTTATGGAAGCTGTTAAGGGAGGACGACGGGAGATTACTATCGAGCACGTCGCCCTTTGCACAAATTGTAAAGGGTTCGGAACAAAGAACGCGCAGAAACCAGAAAAATGCTCTACATGCGGCGGTACAGGTCTACAGTGGACTGCCGTCGCCAGCGGATTTCATATGCAAAGTACGTGTAAAGATTGTAGAGGCAAAGGTCGCAGAATACGCCCGGATAACAAATGTCTTGTGTGCAACGGTCTTGGAAGAGTAAGAGAGAAAAAATCAATATTCGTGGATATTCCTGCAGGTAACTGAACACGGACATCGCGTCTTATACCTTGCTTTCTGTATTGTCGCCCGTAATTGCCTGACTATAACTTGTCACTATCGTTATTAGGAGTGGATGACGGGATGAGCATAAAAATTGCCCGGGAAGGCGATGTTCCATTAGATGTAGATGGCCCGCCGGGGAATTTGTACGTAAGAATCCAAATAAGACCTTCGAGCATATTCAAACGTCAGGGTTCTACCATATTAGTAGATGCCGAAGTCCCATTTCATACAGCAATACTGGGAGGATACATTCGCATACCGACAGTTGATGGTGACGTAGAAGTTAAAGTCCCGTCGGGAACGCAGCCTGGTCAGCAGGCTGTATTGAAAGGGCGAGGTGTTCGTAAGGTCAACACGCAGTCTCGTGGAGATCAAATAGTCGCATTTAAGGTGACAGTACCAAAGTACGTGAAAAGATGAGCTTACTAAATTCTAATCTTGGATAATAGTTGAGATCAGGGACTGTCTTATATTTGACGTCAGGATGGAAAAGTTAACTATGCAATTTGAAATTTTAGGAAATTGACACCGAAACAACGACAGTTGATAGAAGAATATGCCAAGACCTCGAGTGACACTTAGAACATTTGAATATCATCTGGTAGGGGATCGTCTCATACATTGTGACACGTAGTTCTAGGTTTTTATTATACATCAATTATAATATGCATGACAACCTTTGATATAATGATAGGAAGATAATAAAACATAATTAGACGTCCCCGAAGATTTTCTCCATTTTGCAAAGCTCGGTTTTGAATTCCCGAAATTCTTCAACTAAAATATCGCTCTGTTCATCAATCTCGTCATGGTCAAAAGTCAATACAATCTTGCCAGTACTTGACATCTTTGTTAAGGCAGCGTGAAATTGTTGGAAACGTTTTAGCGTTACTGATTGATATTTGGCTGCGTCTCCGAGTTTTTGGCTTGCATTATATGCTGCATGCGCAGCATAGGTGTTGGCTCCAAATATAGCCAGGTCTGCAAGTCTCTATATGCGTCAAGAAGAGAAGGAGGGGATTTTTAATAATAATGGTGATGATGATGATGAACAACAGGCGGGATTGTCGACAGAACTTTACCTGCCAAGCGGTTCGTCTTCTATATCGAGTGAGGCCATACCAAACCTCAAATAATGCAATCCTTGATTCAAGAAAGTCGGTTAGCGAGCATTATCATATGAAATCTGCTGAATGTCAATATAATCATAAACCGCATACCCTGTATGTAAAATGGTCATTCCCGTCATCCCCGCAGCAGATTCTTCCAGGTTTTTCAAATGCTCATCACACTTGACCGAAATAAATTCTGTTTGTTTCATCAAATCTTCCACACCCTTTACGAAAAGAGTTAACCGATCTGCAATGCGAGAACAAGGTTATTATGCACCCCCTAAAAAGTTAATTTGCCCCATGGAAGAATAATAGAGTTACTACAACCTCCCAAAAGATCGTATTTCTTTTCCGACAAGACATTAATGATAACTGATATCAAGGAGTTAAGATGATCTATGTAGATTGTGAAATGTTTCTTATGTGCCGATAGAATTTCTTTAAAGGCAGAGTCGTTGTTCTTCAATAGTTCGTAGGCAGTATTAATACTTTTTATAGTCCCGATAAGATTCCATATGTTCAACATCAAATTTAACGTAAGATCGATTGCCTAACATTTGAAAGTTTGTGGTAGAACATGTCTGAGTTTCATAGAGTGACGCATTAAACGAGACCCGAAAATAAATATAGATAACGAACCACTTTATTTGCGGATAGCGTCCCTGTGCTAACAAGAACAGTAACTTTCTTCATTATTTGCCGTATGATTTTGTTTTTTACTCTAGCGTTGGTATTCAGTGCGGAAAATAAAATAACTCCTGCTTCGAGTAACTCTATTTTGGTGTGACGCCTTGGAAAAAGTGAGTGAAATAAACCTTCTAAGATGTCCTGTGGGATGTCGATACTCTTCTGGAAGACGCATGACAGTTCATGTATTTTCCTATCCAACCACTCGATGTCGCACGCATCCGAATCCGTTTCATCTACGTAAATAATCGAATAGGGATCTTCCTCTTCCTCGTCTTCTTCTTCATCTTCAAGCTTTACTTTTTTGTCTTCTTCTTCTTCATCTTCAAGCTTTACTTCTTTTTCTTTGCCGTTATCGTTAGACGAATAAATAATTCCAAGCGACACTGAGTCTATGGGAATCCAATCAGAGATACCGTTGTGCGAAACTGAATTCAGGACGCTCTCCTTGTTTCGTATGTGATTTATAAGATTCTCGTGTGACTCATCGGCGAACTCTATCTTGATCTTTGCAGTAACAGAATAAGTATATTGAGCGAAAAGAAGCTGCTTTAAAGTCAAGCAAAAAAAACGCCTTTGCAAAGACATTGGCAGAAATGTTATACCTTGGCTGACTGTCCGTTGTATTCAGTAACATTCACATCATATTGGTGTCTTTCTTCCGGAAAGAGAGCGGTTATTAACGATATGGAATCAACCGGTCCCTAAGGTGCAATTCCACTGGTATTCTTGCTTGTGTATTACTGAAGTGACTATATCCGCTTAATGTATTAAGACATACCTTTAGATTGTCAATTTGGAAAGAAGCACGGTTCTTCGTGCCCTTTTCGTGAGATACGAAGTTCTCTTCGACTTCAATAAACTTGTTATTGCGAATAAGCGTGATCGGTTCTAACGTTGTCATTGTTCAAAGTAGTAATACTGATACGAGGAGCAGAATTTGCCTTTTATAATGTACGGTTGCGCCGTGCATCTGATCAGAATGGGATAACAATGAGTAAACGCTGTGTAACCATTATCCTATTGGTTGGATGATGTGAAATCATCGTTGTAAAACTGTTATTGGTCTAGATTTGTTCGTTCTAAATTTAGCACCAAGAAATTGGGTTAAATCACGCAAAATAATGCGTGCCTCATTGTCGACTTTATACTCTTTTTTTAAAATTATTTTTATACCGACTTTGCTGTGAACAGTACCGTTCTATAGTTAGGCATATAGAATGTGTAGTGAAATTTTTAAAATGTATTTTTTAAAACATGGTTATCGCACTAATCGATGGCAATGATTTGCACTATTATGAAACTTGTGGCCGAGTCATTGTAATTTTTCTTCTACTTATAGTTAAAGACGATAATAATACATGGCTTGTAAATTAGGCTTTGCTGTTCACAACGTTCTGTCGATTATTAGACACTAGCACTACTTAATAACTCGAAAGCTTACGTGTTGCGTTATCCTAAAATGCAATTATATTTACGAGAGTACGAATATCCCTAATCGATATAGCAATTAGTGATAAATTTTGCACTTATTGGTGCAAGAGATTATTCTAATGTGACAATCCCGAAACGGGTCATAACACCGATGTTGCCAGAGTATAAAAAACGACTCGTTTATTAAACAAAACGCACTTAATTTAGCGAAAAGTCGAATTTTTTATATACAACTGTTAGCTTTTCTCCATTTAATTCGGTGCCCATTTAAATAATTTTGAATGTAAGTGTCAACTACTGTACAACGCCAATTAATAAATTCTGTAATATTAATATGCAAAAATGTAGTAAAATGGAAAACTTATGCCATATTTGATATTACAGAACAAAATTAAAGAAAATTAAATTACTGACTATTCCCTACCTCCAGCACACTAGATTTAAAATTGCTTACTTTTACAGCCGTTGCCTTGAAGTTATTTTTGGTTTCATTTTTTGGGGTTCGACTAGCGAAGGGTTGACTAGACTTGATCATAAAAATAAAGATACATTATTTTTAAATTAAATGCGATGGGCAGTTTTGTTGTAATTGGCCATAATTTAGATTAATCGCCAGACAGGGTTGCTATCTGCGATGTCCAATTTGAAGTTTGCGCATAAAAATTTGGCCCATACTTTTGAAAGCAGCAAAGCAACTAACGTTCAAAATGTCTTTTGCTTCAATTACATCACCAATTCAGCTAGGCCGAAACCGGATCCGACCGGTATAATAGAGATTTCATTGCATAGCCAACCTCATTAATCCAATGTCAATGGGACCAACGCTTAATTTTGGATTAATGGGCCGATAAAAACAACCATAGCAATTAACTTTAACATAAAGAGAAGACCGGACCAGCTTGATGAGGAAGCTGGTAGTACACTGAATTCTGTAAAAAAATATTTCCGGTACTCTTTTAGCAAGTGGTCGATGTGCACTTTTCCTAATGTCTCAAAGCTCCATATAGTTCAGTGTTTAGCGTAAAAAATTGAATAATTTTATTTCAAAAAATTAGAGCATGTACTCACTGTCTTTGCGATCAAAAGCTAAATACTTGTTTTCAAACAGACAGCATTTCGCGCTAGGACGGAATGTTGACTAAGTATTATAGCGGACTTTAATATTTTCAGTTAAAATATAAGGTGCCTGTTTGTTTTTATAATATTTCTGAGTATGCTGTAATTTATGATGGATTTGATGTGTAAACATGAATTAGTTTTATCTTATATATACAAACCTGAAAACGTTATACTTTTAAGTAAATTTTCCTGCTAGTCATTTACACGACGTAGCTAAAAATAAAATACCACTAAGTTTACACAAGCCACAGTCGTGTCATTAAGCAAAGTCCTTCCAAAATTTAATTAGCTACCTTAGTTGATTTTGTGCTACACCAACCATTGTGAATTAACACGATTACATGGTCAGTAACAAACTTTTAATCGCGCTCAAATTAATTAACATTACAATAGTTACACGAAAACGGTTTGAGAGTATATGCATGTGAGTGATCAACATGCAAGTCCAGCACTGTGGTATTTGACAATGGTGACCACTGTAATACAGTAAACAGTCAACATTTATAACGATTAATTTTTTTATTTAAAAACAGCTGTTATTTGTTGCTGTTTTCGAATTCTAGACTCCATACATTTGGTAACGTTCTTTTTGTGAAGAAAGACTAATAGTATAACTTTACCTCGAACAAGAAGATAAAAAGACTTTTATGCGTTTCTTGAGCTAGTGTTGGCAAAGTCTTGAGACTTTATTAGTTTCATAGAACTAGCTTTCTTTTGCTGCGAGCATGAGCATTAGATGAATTGCAATACAAGCAAATATTATAGATGTGACAAGTAACGTATAGTGTGTCATTGCGTTTCGGAATGTTGAGAGTGAGAAGTTTGTTTTCTTTATTTGTGAAAGAGTTTGGTGTCAGATATTGGTTTTTTCCTCCTGATAAAGTCGTCGTTGTAGTTGATTGTGATTTTCCAGGAACTAAAGAATACCGGAATTGATCTGACACATTAATGTGTCAGCTGATAGTCAAGCTACAAGTTAAATATGTGTTAATAACTCTATGAAATAAAGCTAGCTAAAAAAACTGGGGTTTCTCGATTATTGTTGTTAGAGTTGAATTATTCAAGTTGCGTGAGTGTGATATATAACTAGCTTGACGTTGAGATATTTGACTGTTCAGTGATGGTAGGGGGAAAGTTTAATTTTGAAAGTTGGTGAAAAAGGCTACAAAAATGTATAAATATGGAAGAGATTATTTTGAAGAAATTGGTTCAAATTAGTTTTACACTATTGTGTGTAACTTTTCGAAACAAATTCTAGGCAGCAAGAACTTTTGAACCATCCACATATATCCGGGATTGAGTGTTATTCCAGTACCTCCACATCTGCGCGACATAAAAGACGAAACCGCGACAATTGTGAAATTCTTCCGACTGACGCATAATTCAATGTAACATAATTGTGAATAAATAGTCGCGTCGCTGCGGACAGAGTTGCAAAATAACGTCTACACTAAAACGGACATGTATGCAATCATGTGATGGCTGATGAGCGCCAAATTAACTTCTTTTGTAAATAGCGAGCCGCCCGCCACCGCCACACGTCAATCCAACATTGTTATGGATATTTGGCAACATACCCAAGTACGCAATTTAATTTTTTAACCACTGGGAATGTACTGAATAACGTCTTAGTGTGTTCGTTCTGCCAATAATGAACGAATGCGAGAATTTTATTTCGTGCCCTAACAATTGACAAGCAGAGATGAAGGCTCTTTTCTTCCAGCCTTGCAATTACAACGAGTACTTATTCTTTAAAGTAGCAAACAGTTATACTCGGGAATAAGCGAGAACGCAGCAAGGGAGAAAGAGACTGTTGCCAAAGGGGAGTTGTGTTTCGCACGGTGTGCTCAAACAGCAGGTTGACCTGATTGTTTTTCCCTGATTGAACCGTTGCACGATGACATCCGCATCATTGTAACCCATATTCGTTGCAAGTATGCCCTTTTTTAAAAGCAGTAAACTTGTTGTCAAAACCCATTTATGCAAAAGTGTTTTTTTTTTGTGGTCATAACATGTTTTATTCAATCAAAACGAACGTTCCATTTACAGTAGAGATGGTACAAAAGTTGGGTTTTTTATTACATATAAAAAATTTTCAGTATCTTAAATATAAAATTGTGCAATACTTTTGTCCCCTCTCTGTAGAAGGTAACATGACGTTTTTCAGAGTTTGTTGTCTAAGATATGTTTTAATTAACGTAATTGGCTTAATAGAAAATCTGGAGGATAGTCTATATGTCGGGAGGAGGAGGTCCAATATGACGAGATAGTTTAAAAGCGTTGGACAATGCCTGTCCGCGTTGGACCTACCTACAGGAAATAGTCGGGCGTTCGCCGAGATACATGCGGTTCGCCTCTTCTCGGAGCAGGATCGAACTGCAAGCTGTGGTGTTAAACACGTATTAGTTATAATATTAAATATTGAAACAAAGCATGACAGATAACGCAGCAAAAATACAAACTATGTATATTTCAAATGTTCGTCTATCTCCATAATAGCTGCTTGGTTGCCACAGCGATAACAGTAATTGGGAGCACTGAAAATAGTGACCACGTTACGATCTTGAGACCAATTATATCCCTGAACCAAATCCATAAAAATCATGATCAATAAATCGACTCGCTCCTTACATTAATAGCGCAGACTCGTATTCACGGAAACCCCAACTATGTATGTTCTTTGTATGTTCTTTGTTCAATGATCATCTCAACCACCAATGCTCCCTACCTCCATAACCAATTGATGAGCTCTCGCAATTAAATTCAATCCATTATTATGATTAAATGCTTCCGATATATCCTGCCCAAATGTGTAACCTGCTCCTCTGGGAGATATTCCCCATCCACAGCGGTCATCAGGGTCTGACCATAGCAAATCGCACATAGGACCCTCATGAGGTACCTCTTGGATCCTATCTAATGCTCTAATATGATCGAGCGTATCGATTGACGGAGATAAACCACCATGAAGACAGAATATCTGAATTGTACAACGAAAAATGGTTTAAATAACATTAGCAATAAAATTAACACTTTGTATCCGAAAAAAAAAACAAGTTTCAGTAACAAACCTGTTCATCAATTAATGCAGTTAGCGGTAAATAGTCAAAAAGATCTGTAAAGAATTTCCACACATTTGCATTTCCGTATTTTCTTAAGCACTCGTCATAAAACCCGTAAACTTGAGTTATCTGTCGAGATTCGTGATTACCCCGAAGAATAGTAACGCGATCTCTATATCGGACTTTCAAAGCAACGAGCAGAGTAACCGTTTCGACGGAATAATAACCGCGGTCAACGTAATCTCCCATAAACAGATAATTTGTGTCAGGTGAGTTGCCTCCGATACGGAAAAGTTCCATTAAGTCATGAAACTGCCCGTGGATATCACCACACACTGTTACAGGACAACGGACAGGCTGTACATTTGACTCTTCCATAAGTATTTCGCGTGCCTATGTAACACGTGAGCAAGGAACGAGTTAACAAAATGAAAAACTACCGTTGTCGCATAGGAAAAAGGGTCTTTTTCACCGTATACAGTAGCCACTATTTTCAGCAGCTTTTCTTGATGAAAATACCTTATCGCACAATCTTTTCACATCAGCTTCGGGTAGTTGCTTGCATTGCATAAGATGTTGGATCCACCCATCAACGTCCGCAAAATCCATAGTAGTTGCCATTAATATAAAAGTGTCTTATGGAAAAGTTCAGTGTAAGCGATGTAAATCTATTCAAGGACAACAAGCGAACTTTGCAGGAGATTGTTTACGTGGATGGGGAGCAACTTCCAAAGTTTAAGGAGAACCGATGCAACCACTTGTGTTGCCCAAAGAGAATGGGTGCCTTGTCTATCGGAAAAGATTCTGATTCGTCGAACTCAACAATATTCTGACGTTTGTTATATGCCAATCAGCATCGATAATTTCAATATTGTGCTATCGTGGTAATTTACGCGACATTTAAACAGAAATTCTTTTGAAACTCGGTCACCTTGGCAGAGGGGAGAGTGGATGAATGTCAATGTAATGGTAATTGGTGCATGAATGAGGATGAGGTGATTCATAGCATGGAATACGCCATAACGCCATATTTTCCATTACCGACAAACTGTGTAGCTAACCTGACAGGGCGTGCGTCTTGAAGGAATTCGATGCGATGTAAGCTGTTGGATTGCATATAGTAAACTATTAGATTTACAACATAATCAAATGTTTGTATGCGACTCGTTCTGTTTAGAGAACACCGCAACAGAACTACACTGCACGCATTACATGAAACTATATGGCATCTAACACTCGATAAAAAGTTACATTGTGCATGGACTGATAAAGGTGTCAAGGCGTCCGAGACTACAATTCCTTCAAAGCGGCAATGAATGCAAGGTAGATCGGTGGCAGAGCAAGTGGACCTTGAGGGCTAATTATTGGAGACATCGAAAGTGAGTGACAATGGGGGAAACAAAGAGATTGATTTATTGATTGATGGCGCAAACTTTTTTACGAGAAAAAAAGTTCCCAATATATGATTGGAAGCTATTTTGGCCGAGTTGGAGTCGAAGAACATTAGTATTAGGTTTTAGATCATTCCACAATTTACTGTTCACAACGGCAGAATGCCCTCTCGTTCTTATCAGTTTGTTGAAAAAAAAGAAGATATTGCTACGTTAAGGTCAAGCGATTGTATACTTTATCCAGAATCGACATTATCTCTTCTATTCACAAAGATAACATGAATAATATATAAAGTTTGCAAATGGTATACGAAATAATAAAGCCTCTACCAAATCGGCAGGAACCTAGCAACGCATGACCTTTCAAGGTGAAGAACTTCTGTCATAGAGGTCAAGGATGTTTTCACTAACTCGAAGTTCAAGGACAAATTCAAGACTAGTTATTTTCCTGTGGACGTCCAACTAAGATTGGTTGGTGGAGTAATTACATTTTTTTAGAATGTTTGTAGTCACAAATCGATGATCATAATCACGTTTCTGAGCAATACCACCCTTTGAGCAAACAGACTGTTTACCAACTAAGGGAAGAGTTTATCTTTCTTTTTGATGTGATTTAAATTTTGCGAGAAATTATTCCCCATGCCACACTACCGACTGCGTAAATCGTTATATCCACATACTCTTATTTTAGTTCTTCATAATTTTTTCGTCATTAAATTCTGTAAATAAAAAAGATCATAAATTCTATACAGATAATAGAATACAAAATTTTTACTTGTTTCTTTTCTCTTCTGCCCTTACTGAGTTCCCAGAACTTTGTCTTATACTCATCTTCGCTTTCTAATATCTTTTCTTATTTCCTTCTCAGTCTCTTCCAACTCAAGTGATTTTTGTGGCGTGCTAAAATTCTCTTTATCGCCAAGTACTTTTTTATCATCCCATCGCCAACTATTCTTTGTCAATGCTTTCCTTAAAGTCGAATTGTTCTTCTCATAATCAATCTCATGATCAACTCACCCGATGACTTCACAAGCCACATCTTGGGCACAATTCCATGGGCAAATCTGTTCCTTTTAAAATTAGCAGGATTGGTCTTATGATTACCATGAAATAAAAAATTTTTTAATATTTTTCTATTACGAAGTTTTAACATAAAAGATCCGCGTCACTACGATCTTTGCCGCGAATTTTTCTACTATTTTTGAAAAAATTATGAATTCGTTTTTGACAAAAAATTCGTAAGCTTGCTTTTTCTGCCGAGTTAATAAAAGGTTCGACGATCTTCCTTCCTTCATTCTCGTTAAAAGAAAAGAAGATTCAAATATTGGTGTGGTAGATAGTTTCAGAGGGTCCATACACGGTAAATGATTGCAAATGTGACTTATTAAAACTATAGTCCGCTTGGGCTGTCTGGAGGAGGTAGAAGAAGGTGAAGACAACGTCTGCTCCACAATCCAGCTGAATACCGTATTATGTGGTGACATGTTTGGTGGAAGGGTCACAAAGTGCTGCGAGAAATATCGAGATGGCAGGCGTCATACAAGACGTCTAAGTTGAGACCATGCTTGATGTTTTCTCAATTACGTCAGAACGTAACCACTTAGAGATCTTGCACTTTTATCATTTTACGCGACACGATCAGACTTGTACCTGATGTGGGTACATATATATTATATGAATACTGCCTTATGCAACCCAGATGACTTCAGTAGAGTAATTACTGGTCAGTCAGCGTAACCTTGAATCGCACTATACGAAACATAATTTATGAGCATTTCCAAGAAATGTTTTCGATGTTAATTCTCAAAGTAGAAGCTGAGATCCAAGTCAGTTGATAATGGAAGGTTAATCATGCTCGTTGGGTCTATGTTCAAACAAGGTTAGGTCCGCAATGAATCATGTTAACAGATCGGCGTGAACTTTTGTCACTGTCGCGTCAATTAAGACGGTTTAATTTCCAGCGACTCTTATTATTTATTTCAATTAATCTAAAAGAAGTCTTCTACACTAATACTTTATCAACTGGATATTGCTGATCAGCAGACTCCATTACATCTGATAATGAATTGCAGCTTTGAATTAATTCTTGACACATTGTGTCTATTGTTAATGGGTTTATATTCTTCGGGTATGTCACTCAGACATTCAATTGTCTTTAAATATAATCTTAAGTTTTAAAGCTCAATGTGTGTAATTTACCAAGACCTATCCTCGATCTGCCGTCTTTACTAGTCAAAACTTGTGTCGATTCATTGTATTGTTCAATTGCATATTTCGTTATATTGGTGGTTACAAAGTCATAGATATTACATCCTCGTTGCCTTCTTCTTGCCCTTCCTCTTCCTCTTTCCTTTCCACTTTATCTTTCTCCTTCTCTTTCTCTTTCCCTTTCTTTTCCGCTCTTTCTCGTTTTCTGGCCAATATTTTCGATCTCTCGACTTTCTTAATATAGTCCTTATTCTCTCGCCTCCCCTGTGAAATTTCCATTTGAAGTCGCTTGGCTCTCGCTGCCTTTTCGTATGCTACATTAATTGAATAGACATATAGGAATTAGATTCAAGGGCTACGTATCAATTCCCATGAAACTGACAAGTATCAAAATTTGAAATCTACCTAGCTGCCCTGTCAAATGATCCCATTTAAATCCTGGTAAATATTTGATATTCCACAAGTCATCGTGATAATAAAAACGTTTCTTCCCGCCTTTAGCCAAGTAGTCTATTTTAGATACAGATTTACAGACTGCCATCAAATTCAAGCACCAACTTACCAATTGGTTTAGCATTCAACGTATTCGCTACAACTTTCGCAACATTCTTGTCCAAAAACTCTACCCAACCTTCAGTGTAATTTTTCTTTCCATTTCCGCCAAACTTTTTTCGTCTTTGTCGAATCCTTTGATCTTAAAAGAGATTGAACATTAGCATAATACTACAATGCTTAGTAACTAAAAATCTGCTCGCACACGTCTAACAATACCTTCAGGTGCCAGGTATATCCTTCCTATTTCTCCGTATGCTTGTAACAGGTAACGCACTTTTTGAGGTTTCATGAAAGGCGGTATTCGAGATAAATATACGACCCCAGTCTTTTTCTGTTCTTCTTGAAACTTGGCTAATTTTTTCTCAGTTATGGGTTTGAGAGTCTTTTGAGTTGAAGGACCGACGTTCAGAGGCGCACTGATCGGGTCGACTTGTTCGCTCTCTGTTCTGGGAGAATTGACAGGCATTGTTTTAAGAAGAAATTCAGACATCATTTCAATGTTGTACGACCATAAAAGTAATCCGCATGATGATTATCATGCACTAATAACCAATAATGTTGAAAATGTCAGTAGAAATGTGATAAGAAGTTACGCATAATTTGTGTTGATCACTCGATTTCATTACTATATCCGGGAAACACTTCAAAATTCACATGATCGAGAATGAATGAGAAATTTGATAGATTCATTCGAATGATAGTTAATTATTACAAGTAGACGATGTGTATCTTTAGCGATAAAGATATCATAAATGTAGATGATAGATTGATAAGAGAAGTTTACACAATTTATATCGATCATTCAAAATTCACATGATCGAGAAGTCAACGTCAACATAATACTTGATATTCCACGTCAATTTTTTGCATAACAGTTACATTTAGCATGCATGTAAATTTTATAAGCACAGGATTCTTCTTGGTTGCTGACTTGGGATTCTAGCGTCTTCTATAAAACAGACCGTTAGAATATACATATTAATATCATATTACGTCCCAATACTAAGACACTATTATAACATGACGGAAGAGGTAAGCGAAAACCATTTCTTTGTGACTCTTTGTGGCTAGTAATGCAACTTGTTTCGCAAGGTACTGTAATAGTAATGGGAAGCTTACATGGCATGGTAATGTAAATGTTATATATTACTGACAGCCAAGACAGTTGGTGCGTGCATAAACTTTTGGTAGTAGCAAGTTGTATTTCAAAGTGTATAAGGGAAACTTTAGTAGCCCGCTAACAGAATAGTCTCAGATTTCGCATTCTCTCGCTTTACCCATAATGCATTGCTTATCTCTCCAAAACAGTTGCTGTAATAAACGAAAACTCTGAACAGTTCTATTCGTGAACAACTTTTTAATTGTTACCGCTTGTTTCATTCAGTTGTCTCAACAAACTAAACGAGAATCTGTTATACGACGCTTTGCATGAGTGTTAATAGGCGAAATGTATTTTAACATGCTCCTAAGCAAACACCCAAAGGCTACAAATAAAGCACCTTTACTGCCATAATAATAAGACATTTTGAAGCAGTTTATATTCACATTCTAAAAAAACAAAAAAAAACTGGCGTTAATCAAGAGTAACTGAAGAAAGATTTTAATGTTTAAAAGTAAGCGTTTTCAGGTCTAAGCAAAGTTAACGTAAAGTGGAGCAACGAAGACTTTTTTGGCATGTAGCGAGAGCTCAAAAGGTAAATATTCAAATATAAAATCTACATTAATAACAATTACCCACGTTCTGCTTCTATAAACAGCGTAGAGCATCGGTGTGTTTGCCAGATTTCGCAATATTATTTATCGATACCTTTATGTTTTATTTCTTATCTTATCAATAAACGAGCTATTACTCTGCAATTATATAATTTTTTCCTGCATAATTCGTTATATTTTTAAAGCATTAATTCGTATAACAGAACGTTAATCGTAATACTTGTCCCGCGATGTTATTACGATAATTAATTATTACTTTCTCAACGCGTCATCTTTCTTATTAAGACCCCAATGATAACTAGCGACGTAATTCAGCGGTAATAAATCTCGAGAATATTTATCTGAAATTAGTATGTACGATCAGAACTAGACTCATTGGTGCGTATGCTCTTTCGTGACCATTGACTCGATAGTACACAGAGATTAACAGGCTACTGCGTTAGTTACATCTTTTGATCCGTCGATTTAAAGCTGATTGACTAAATTTTGCCGCAAAATTTTTCATGTAATTATTTTTTTGTGCCATGCTGGCTCATTATTTTGTTTTTTATTTAGTAGTTTTTTTTGTATAGTATATTCACTTTTGTCCGTATGGCAGCTGGCATCCAAAATTACATTATTCTGAGCTTGTGGTCAAAAACATTCAGTTACTCTTAATTATCTGTTAGCCGTACGATGATTATTTCGTTAATAGTTTGTCGCATGTTATTTTAGAATTCATTGTAGTAAAATTTTGTATTTGACATAGCACTAACCAGTTTGTTTGCTATCGAATCTATTGGTAGTAATATTTTATTGGAACCAATTTTAACAGCTAATACTAGTCTGTTTTTTTTTTTCGAAAAAATTTATAGAAATTATGCCAAGAAAAGAAATAAGCTTGGAACAAAAAGTACAAATTACGAAATTTACAAGCCTAAGAATCGAGTTTGTTCTGAATAGATTCATGAAATAACAGTTACGAGCTTGCATTGCAATTACAAAAAAGAAAGCAAAAATATCGTAAAATAATTTAATATATATTACCTGCGACGCGTAAATGTAACGTGTTTGTAATTAGAACGTGTAAAGTAAAAATTGTTTAAAAATAAATACAATAAAGTCGTGCCCTTAATTACTGACAAATTTAATTTAATTTCCAAGCACAAGACAAACTTAGTTTAAAGTTTCTTATTATATCAATACAATGTTACATTTTTGTACGTTGTATGTTACAATTATTGAAATTGTAAGTTAATAAAAAAACTTTTTAAATTTATAATTACAATTGTTTATTATATTCTAAAGCTATGGTAGATAAATAATCGACAGACTATTGCTTCTAAGCCGGCATGCCAAGCAGCAAACTCACCTTTTATCTCTAACCAGCTTCAGGGACAGATCCTTCACAAACAGCTAAGTAATCATCGAATCGGTCTCTCAAACCCGTCCACCTCCACCAGAGTCCCATTGGATCCGATCACCCGGCATACCCATCAGGGAAAGTAAAAAGGGGGAGAGAAGCAAAAAGGGAATAAATAGAGTTAGTTTATAAAGTAAAACAATGCGACACTTACCTTATACCTACCCCAAACCTTCTCCCCGTCATCTAAAAGCTGTGTAAGAAAAAAGAGAAAAGAAAAAAAGGAGATGTCTGAGAGTGTTCCAGGCATCCCCCATGACCCACTCATCAGACCCGTGCCAGGATCTCTTCACCGCAGGCGAGCACTGGTGAAAGGGTGAGCAGAGAGGCGTCACCGATAACTACCCGCCACTCGATCCAGATCCGCGCCCGTCCGCCAGTTGAGAGACAAAAAAGAGTCGCTACCTAGTTAACCAGTTTAAAGAGCAAAAGTCCGTTAGTTAGCGATTGATTGTTTATCTACAATTTACCTATTATGTAGAAATCTGTTGTAATAAAGAGTCGTGTTTGGACATATGCTGTATGTGTATTGGTTTCGTGGTTGGTAAACTGTAATCGTTATTTCAAAGGCCTATTCGAGAGCTGATCATATGGAGGAGTGGTGATAAACGTTTGCTGCGCTGATGTTTGACTTGTAGATAATGTTGCATTTGCGTTTTGGAGGAGAGATTGTTGTAAAGTAGCGTTTATGTACGTATGAGTGAGTGGGTAGACGCGTCGCGAACTCTTTCGTCGGCTATGTGATTGATAAACCGAGTCGTCGTTTCAAAGACTTTGTTTGAAGTTGTAGCAAACAATCGTATGGGGTGTAATATGGAAGAATAGTGATAAACCGTTTGCTGCGCTGTCTGTTTGCCTCTTAGATAGCGCTGTATTTGCGCTTTGAAGAAGAGGGCTGTCGAGAAGCAAACACACGCGATATGAAGAAAAGTGCTTGTGTGCGTGTTTATATGGGAAAACGCGTAGTAGATAAACCGAGTCGTTTCAAAAACTTGTTGAGAGTCGTGCGGACTCGTCGTCGGTGCGTAATATAGAAAAGTAGTGATATAGTCTGCTGCGTTGTATGTTTGACTTTTAGTATTTGCGCTTTTAAGAGGAGATGCACTTGTAAAGCAATACAGGCACGATAAAGGGAAACGTTTGAATGAGTAGACGCGCGCTTTCGTCAGCCACGTAACTGATAAACCGAGTCGTTGTCTCAAAGACTTGTTTGAGGGTCGTAGCAGACAGTCGTATGTGCGTACGTGTAATATGGGAAAGTGGTGATAACGATTTGTATATTTAACGTGTTTACGCTTGGAGGAAAAGCTGTGGTAAAGTGCAATGGAAAGAAGTGCCTGGCTATATATATATGCATGAGTAAACGCGTGCTCACGTGTTATATGACACATATCAGACATATTGGTACTGCCAATGGACAACCTTATAAGGATAAATTTTGTTATTTATCAATAAGGGGTGTGAAAATCTTCAACTGTCAACCAATCGCAAACACAAAGGGTTATTAGATTAACCATATCGAGATTGTCATAATTGTTTCCGTAAATAAGGACAATATCACCAGTGTAACCTCCGTAACATACACAGTAAATAGTTTTCACTGGTTAACACGTCTGATTGGCCACGCTTATAAACTGATTTTTGTGATAGTGATTATATCGATAACAAAAGCCCTTTTTGCAATAGTTTTCAGCTTTGATACCATTATGTATCTGAATAAATATTGATAATTTACAGAATATTTTCTTTTGAGTTATGAAAGACGCGTGTTTACACGATCTGATAAGAATACACTAAACTCAGTTGACGTGAATAAACAAAAGGTTTATCATAAACCACAATACACAAAGGAGTATATCTCCCGACCCGATCCAAATAAGCTCGATATAAAATTTTATTTAAAAAAAGAAAGAAAAAGAAAATACTGATTTCAGCATCAGCCGTGACAATAATTAACTAACAATAACGGGCTTAACAACGAACGTGCACTCTTGTAATAAGTATCCGTATACATAATAAAGTCTATAAAAATTGTTGCAAGCATAAAACGCTCTTATATTATGAAGAAATTAGAATACATTTGTTCCGACCCGACAAGGTTTAAGTGTATACAAAGACGAAATTTTGTACTATTACTATGGATTTGGTAATATGTTAGATGACAGTCAATAGTTGTTATGGTGTTTTCTTTTTCAACAATACTATACAAGTCAACAAGATTGAAATAATATCAACTGTTTACGGGTGAAAGATAAAATTACTTGTCTATGACTACGCTAGAACTTTAAAGCCAACAAGGTCGGCTACAAATACAGGCAGACGACTTGGGAAAAATTGTTGTTAGCCAGAAGAGAATAAAGTAGTCGAGTTGAAGAATGAAAATTTACATGCAATTGAATAAAAGCAAGCTTTGCATTTTTTATCAGAAGATTTGCAACAAAATTTCCTGACCATTGAGCAGTAAGTACGTAAATTTAGAGTCCCATTATCTACAACACCGGAATAGTTCTCGTACTATGATGGTGCAGGCTAAGCAGGCAACTAATTTAACAAGTTACGCTCTCAAATTTCTTATTCCATTTATTATCATGATCAACCAGGATCGCAGACTCATAACGGAAATAAGCGTGTGCAAAATGTTTGTGTTTTCGAATCGTGGGCTCACCATTTCCCTCCACTCTTCGCTTTCTGCTTCTACCTAATTTCGGTATCAGCATACCCAGTCGCAGTGTAAGTACCCGAATCATACGAATCAAAAGAACTACCGTAATCAGAAGTGTCAGCAAAATTATAATGATCGTAAGAATAATCATGAAAATCATTAGAATTATACGACCACGTTCTAGAAGATGGTCCCTGAAATCTTCTACTTCTGTAACTGCGATAAAATATTTTGATTAGCTTTTTGAGATTGCACATTCATTGAAAAAGACAATCTTATCTGTCCAATTGCTCATCACTAACGATCCTACAACCGACCTTGATCGTCTGCGCGCTTCACCCGCCTGCCTTCCTAAGAGATAACCAAACAGACCGCCAACTCCAGCGCCAGTCCAGAATCCAGATCTACCTCGAAACAAGTTTGAAAATTCTAAAGAGAACCAACGTGTAAACAAATGGTATAATCATAAAACAAAAGTACAAAGGAGTGTTCCATGATTAAACTATTACTACAAAATTTCGTCCGTTAACGCAATTGTACCTACCCGCACCGCTGGCTAGAGAAGGCCCCTCCCCTCCGGCTGGTTGGTGGTTTTCGCTGTTTGCATTATTACTGTCGGATCTTGCCGGAGTAATAACAATAGACCAATTTAGACATGGCGTCACCACTTTCTATCGATGATATATTATAAACCTTTACCTGGGAACGAAAGGAGTATTAGGACCACCTCTTCTTCGTAATGATAATATAAAGTTATACGCGGTAAACGCGACCACACAGAAGAACAGTACATAGATCATGTAACCAAACATTTCTGGAATTTATAATAAATTCAAGGGTTAATTTGGTTTAAGATACGCATCTCTGATTTCCATAACGTCATGTAATAATACGCACGATTAGATTGAGAATAGCCATACGCATCGTAAAAACGATCGCTTTTCTTTGACCCGCCAATACGCAACAAAGAATATTGCAATCCACAACTTCCTATAATACGTCAATAGTTAGTTCATGATAACCTAATCCCTTTATAATTATAGTGACATTTACCTTTGAGTACGTATGGATCGCCAGGATAATCGTAACCTGCATAATGATAACGAGAATCGCACTCGCTCATCGCAACTTTAAATCTTGATAATGTTTAATACACATTCCCTTACCCTCACAATTGACAGTAAGACTCCCAAATCCAAGATGACTTGGTAACGATGCTTGACACTTCCATTGTGGATTATATCCGTATGTACCGATGTTCCGACATGTTATAGAGCCTAATCAAAGAAAAACTTAGTCGCAACGTGGAAACACGATCGTTCGTTGAGAAGATGAAAAAATCAAACTCACTTGGGACAAATTCATGGCACGCTTTTCCATGCACACATGACATTTGCGGAACTTGTATATAAATACGACTAGTTAAGTGACTATAAAACAAGACGTCTTCTCAATTAAGCGACTGTAAATTAACACTAACTTGGGGCGGTTCGACGTCCTGCTGTTCGTTTGCCATGGTAAAAGGTTAACGAATTTACGTCACTCAATAACACCTTTTCATCCCACCATGACTCCACTTCACGAACACACGAGTATAAAAGAAATAGCTTTAGGAGAATGTTCCAATTCATGGAGTAACGTCAGTGAATAGAGTGAACTCTCTTGCGGAGTAATAATTGTGAACATCAGTCTTTAGTATTGTCGCCGACTGATGTTTTAACGGATTTTGGTATCCGACTGCGGACTATTCCCACGCACATTTTTGTTGATTTACGATTCGCGAGTTACAATTTCGGTAGACAATAGGAATGTTGGCATAATACTATTGGACTGCTCTATGAGTGCCATGAAAACAACCCCGCTAGAAGTAATTCTCGTGCATTCTCGACATCTGTCAATAGCGAATACTCTATTCGTTGTATACTTATTCTTTACATAACATGATGAAAATGAATTTAATGACTTGTTGCCAGTAGCCCAATCGCCTGGTCTTGGCACTTTACACTCGAAACAGAATGTACGTTCTAAATGACGTGTGCACGCTAGGCATAATCCGAATATTTGCAGTAATGTTTTGTAATTCCCAATTTTTATTTTTAATCCTGCTCTCATACCAATCTTTCGCATCGCCTTCGAGACAATTTTCAAAAATTCCATGAATTCTCATTCGCATATTATGTCCAGTACCTGGGTCATAATTACACATTCACACCATCAGCGAAATCTCTAATAAAATCTTCCGGATCTGTTAATACACAAAACTTTGGTAATTCATATCCTGCCATGTTTCGATTGTTATTATGATTCTGCGGTATATTATTTTGTAAATCTAAATTCTCTGATTTAAAAAATTAATTTGCTCTTCAAGTTCTAAATTAGCATCGCGGACTAGCCTCATTCTAAACTTCCACTTGCTACAGCTCAGAACCTAACACAAATACTCCAAAACTGAACCAATATTAATAACAAAAGAAAACTCAGTTGAACAACCCTCCAAACCTAAACCACGTCAACCACGAAAAAGAACCTTACGGTCAACTAAGAAAATTTCCGATATTGCAACTAACAAACTATAACTTATATCTGTCGATTCCTTAAAACTTTATATTATCTATACTTTACCTCATCTTTTAAATACAATTGACCTATATATAACACTGTAAAGTTCTTAATAAATCAAACAGGGCACAGCCCCCCGAAAAACTAAACTTCTAGTTACAACAAACGGCAGACCCGATCAAGACTACGCTCTTATCAAAACGATACTATCGATACTTTGTGCAATGATTCGTAATCAGGATAACAACTTACGAGTAATAAAGACATAATAGTAAAGTCGCGTAACGCAAGTTGAACAAGTTGATTCATTGTTTTTGCATACAAGTATAATTGTTGTTACGTATGCATATAATAAAGGAGTGTGAGTCTGCGACTGTCAACTAATAAGGGTATTGTCATATTTTTTAGTGTAACACATTATGACTAATATCGCAATTGTTCTGGAATATACTCTGTAAAAAAGTTTTTTATTGGTTAAAGTTGTTGTTGTACCTCGGTTGGGAAATCTGGACTGAGTGACTGAATTCCGTAGTGAGATATGTAATTATATAATAAAAGTAATTGTAGCAACAATTCGGCTGTAATATCTTTTACATATTATATATTTTTGAAACAAGTTTATTATGATTACCTTTTGATGTGTATTCGTAATATTTTTTAACCACTAACGTGAAAATTCGCAAAGAATGTAGGCGAAAAAGTATGCGAGAGCCAATAAGTAGAACGCCTCCCATCACTATCGTAATGATCAAATTATACACGTGGAGTATACGTAGTGAATTCCAGACACTCCTCTGGAACTCTAAACGTTTCATAATTATTATAGAACCAATTATGATGACTGCAATGTCATGTTATTATCTTCTGACTGATAATATTTTTAATCAATAACGTTTCTCTGATCTTATGTCATGTGCTTTTCTATTGATGTAAAGACTTATTAATGTTATTATCGCTATTGTAAATAATTAGTTTTCACATGTATGGCTTATTATTATCAGTCAAGCTATTATATTATACTAGACAATATATTGGTTGAGTTTGACAGTCGCAGACATTTGATCAGTCTGTATTAAATTATACCGCGTGGCTTATTCGCAGTAAATTCCCACATTACCCCTTTCTCCTGATTGAAACGAAATGTCTTGTTCTTATTTATAGAAACCAATTACGACAATTGCAATATTTTTATTAGATGTAAAGACTTGTTAGTGTTATTATCGCTATCGCAAAGAATTAGTATGGTTTATTATTATCAGTAGCATTACGTCATGCTACAAAGACCATCGCGAATGGAACAAGATTGCTGACTGTTACGCTCTTGACTCATCGAGATCGGCTGTGGTACCACTGCAGAGCGCCCTGCTTCGCAGTAAAATTTCAGGACAGCAATCTACACGGGTACAGACACGTAGTGTTTGCAAAGCAATTTGCCACCCTACTTACAAAAGAAACGATACCAGAAGTTGAAAACGTATCACGCATACTTTCGGGACAGCAATCCGCAAAAATTTATCGATACATGAAAAGGCGGTTTAATCCGCCTAAACGTTAAAAACGTGCGGATTGCTGTCCCAATTTTTTTTTTCAGAAAGCGATTAAATTCAGCTAAAAACGTTAAAAAACGCGCGGATTGCTGTCCCGTCCACATTAAAAATTTTATTATTATACTATCTACTAACGAGCATTAACACCAACGCCAACACATGATAAACCAAGAAAGAAACAAAAACTTGAAGAAACGTAAGGAAAATAAAGTTAACGTAACAAGCTTCCCACCAACGCTTTCACTGACCGAGCAACTGTCAACGAAAGATCGATAAGACTGCTCTATTATATTTCGCCATTTTGACACAATTGCAAAATTTTCGTAAGCATAAATTTTATTATTTCGATTATTGAATGCGCGCTCTTGAAAATATAAATAATACGAAAGCACCAGAATGATTGCATGGGAGGAAAATACTCGGACCCAAAGCCATTTATGAGTATAACCTATTCTTTGGTCACTCCGGTGCCAAAATTTAAATTTTTATTATCTTTTATACTATTACCGTTATTAATAATATTATCACTATTGTCTATTTCTTCATCCGCGTGGTTTACGTTTCCCCTTCGTCGATCCAACGTTGGATTGCTTCGATCGTCTTTTTCCGCGGAGCAATGTTCGTCGAAAATAAAAATTTCGTATTGTAGAAGCCGCAACAGCTTTTTCTTCAAGCAATTTATAAATCTCGAATGCCATTTTGTTAAATGAAAATTTTGGATCCTCTTATCGTATAATTGTTTTAAAGCGTTCCCCGACGTTTCGATTTCTGGCGAGTAAATTTTGTTCGCTGGTGGTTTCGTTATTGGTAACTTCCGAACTTCATAGTCTTAATTGTGGAGTTGGCTATTACAGATTATGCCAAAAACAAAGCCAATTAACACTCCAAGGAAGAATTCGCTTGTGAATGTGAACATTTTTCGCAAAGCGTAATTGTTTGATATGTTTTGTTTATCTTATTTAAAGATATTTATTGTGTTGTGGGTTTTTCTGAAAGTAAGCGACTACTATAATAAGGTCTTGCGATTGATGATCAAAAAAAATTTTTTTTACCGTTCTCAAAAAAAATGAAAGACTGCGACGGAACGTTTCGCCGAGAATGCCGCCTGTGTGAATGTCAGGAATTTGGCAGCATAGATAACGAAAAAATTTGCCGCTGCGAACATCACGCCGCCGACCATGCGGCTCCAGCAGGTAACGACTTTGTGACTCGGGCATTGGGGACATAGATAGTGTGTACATAGGGTAAATATACTAATGTGGATACCTATATTATGGATTTTGTATCATACCTTCTCTCCCGTTTATAATAACCCTTTCCATTGCTATAATCATAATTGCTGCGATGTATTTGGATCGTTCCACCTTTGTCCGCACGTTTGTCTTTCGCTAGAGAAACGGTTTCACCTAGGTACGCTGTTGTCCGAAGCATGTCTGTTCATTGATCATTCGCTTTATTGATATCTTTTTCCGACAATTCT